AATTATTATTATAAAGAAGAAGAACACAAAAAGGCTAAAAAACATTATAACCATAGAAATTATTATTATGCAATACATTACAATCTTATATATGGTTTTACTTTTTATAAATTTTAGGCACTTATTCATCTTCTTTTAGTTTAATACATTATATCTAATAATTATAAAATGATTGAGAATATAAAGATAAAAAATGGAAGACAAGAACATGAGAAGACAAAAAATAATTAGAAAGTTTTACTTAAAATTTATTGAAAAATTATTTAAAAAATATAACTACATGTGCAATTATAATATCATAATGATTACAATTATTGTATCATTATGAGCTATAATTGTAACACCCCACATACCTCAGTGAATAATTTAAAAATTAGTGTCCTTTAGTTTATAGTTTTAGGGATTAAATTGATTGAATTTAAAGTTTGGGGGCTTTAAGTAAAACTTAGTAGAAGTTGAATGACCATAATTCAATTATCCCAATTTTGCTTACCACATGGCATTGTCCTAACCAAGTTTTTTTTTCTTGGTCGGTGGAAACTTGGATAAGCCTCTAGAAGGCTCCCAAAAGCCCCATTTTGTTTTCCTATGCCTCCCTCTTCCACCTACATCCTTTTCTTCCTTCTTTCTCCAACAAAGGTTAAGGTGCCTTTTGTTAGGTAAGTATAAGTTTTAGTTATTAATTTTGGGTTAGAGTTTTGGGTAGTTTAAATTGGTGAAATTTGACTCTAATCCTTTGGTTTATAAGATTTTTTGGTATTAAAATTTCATTAGAAATATCCTTAATTTTGGGGCTTATATGGGAAAGACAGTGAGTTAGTCCTTTTTATGTTTGATTTGGGTGTGAATTTTTGCTGCAGGAATTATAAGTAAATTGTAATATTTATGAATTACTGTTCACGATTACTGTTCACACATTATACTTTGATATCTTTCAATAGGAAGTCCTAATATTATTTTGGACATATTATGAATTTGTTTGACATGCGTATGTGTTTGTGGCTATGGAGTAAGTGGACCTAAGCTTAAAGCTTGGGGTATTCAGTGGACCTTTCGGGTATTTAGTGGATCTCTGTGCAGTAGGGTTAGTACTGTGATTAGCTCCGGTACAGTGTTGCTAGCACACCTCAGTGGACTCCATAGCATTGTGTGATTTTCGATTTTATGCATTGCGCTTGTGACATCATATTTGTTAGCATATGATGTTAGTATATGAATTCAATTTAAATGTCATTGATTATTCCTTGACATTTGTGCTTATGATTTTATTCCGTTGTGTCTTATGCTCTTTTTGTGGATAGGTCTAAAGGTTTTAGGACCCAAGTTTATAACTTAAACTTATTACTTACTGGGCTGTTAGCTCATAAAATTCCCCCCCCCCCATTTCAGATCAGTAGATCGAGGTAGCAGCCTCTTGGTTAGGGAGCTTTTGGCACGAGACTCGCATGCTCGTTGTACGTACAAGCTAGGGCCTCGTGTTTTCGATAGGGAGGCAGATCGATGTGTTACCAAAACAATGATTCAGCTTTTGTTTTTTTGAAAAGTTTTGGAGAAGAATTTGCCTCATATAATTTTTGTGTAAATTAGCTTTATGTATAAAAAATATTTAAATTAATTATAAATGAGTTTAGCTCGGCTTATTTTATAATTTTGAATATTTTGACATTTTTTCAATATATATATTGACTTGTTAAAGTGGTTTTCCTTTACAGGTATTTATGATCTTCTTTTTTCAAAAGTGTTTTTATTTTCGCTACAATTCTTTAATATAAATCTTATTTCCGAACTCTTCTAGGACTAAGAGTGCTTAGGGAGGTGTGTTATAATAATGTTATTTTCATTCTTTATTTAAAAAGATACATTTTTTACCAATAAATTTACATAGACTATACAAATATAATTTAATACCATAGTAATGATGATGAATAAAAAGAAAGAGTCACTATTCCTAACCTATCCTATAATAATAATCTAATTAAAGAGATATATTTACATGATTTCTATTTAAGCTCCACCCTTCCCCATTCTCCATGCAAACTTTTGATGAAGAAATTTGAGTCAACCAACAATTTCAAAAAGGTATATTACATTTGATATTGGATATTTGATACTTATTTCATTTTTTTTCAATTACATTATTGTTGTAGCATGGAAAACCCTAGGTTTGTGGAAAGAATTAATTTTAAGGAATTATTGGAGAGGATATCGATTTGATTGAATTTAGGCCAGCCACAATATATTTACATGATTTTTATTTAAGCTCCACCCTTCCCCCATTCTCCATGCAAACTTTTGATGAAGGAATTTGAGTTAACCAACAATTTCAACAAGGTATATTACATTTGATACTGGATATTTGATACTGGATATTTGATACTTATTTCATTTTTTTTCAATTACATTATTTATTCATTACTATTCAACATTTTCTTTTGACAACCATTTTGTAGCATGGAAAACCTTAGGTTTGTGGAAAGAATTAATTTCAAGGAACTATTGGAGAGGATATCTATTCGATTGAATTTAGGACAGCCACAATATCAAAAAAATCTAAGTGATGATGGGAATTATGCCTACAGCATTCAACTAATCCAAGAAGAGGACTATATTGCTATGAAATTAATTTACAATTGCTATCCTTTTGCAGCTATGGAAGAAGCGGAACAATCTGCTGCAAAACATGCTATCTTAGAACTAAAGAAATCTCATGATTTTGCAATTGAGGATGTTAATTACACCAAAATGGAAGCTATTGAAGAAGCTTTTCAGAGACAATCTTCTTTGTGTGAAATGGAGAGAGAAAAAGAAGCAGTATATAAAGAACATGTTTCAAGGATTGTTGAAGGACTTAGAACAATGTTACAAAGAATAAAAATATCTTATTATAGCAAGAAAAAGATGAATGTACTTCTAAACAATATCTAATAATTTTCATATTATGTAGAATTGACTATCCATGATATAATATAAATAAATTGTAGGGTTATCTTTGTCTTATATATTCCATTCTCTTCTTAAAAATTACTAACAATGTCCTTAAGTAATCTATTATTAATTTAATTATTATTGATAACTCTTCCAACTTTATTTATAAGACTAGCTTTTCTCTTTTATTTTTATTATTGTTGTCAACTATCATTATCCCTTTTTCCTAATTAAATTAATCATTCTCTTCACCTTTTATTATATTACATTTAATTTATTTATTTAGTTTGTCCATCCTACGAGAATGACTATGGAAAATAGAAGACAAACAAAAGGAATGGAAAAGATATAGAGGGAACCCACCCCCAACAAAAAAAAAAAAAATACTACTACTTAAACCCCATTGAAACTATGCCCTAAACATAGTGTTGAAATGGGAAGTAAACAAGAGGTGCATCCAGAGGTGAAAGATGCATATCCTTGGAAACGCATAAAAAAATATTGGAATGCATAATAATAGAAGTCATGGGACTAAATTGTAAATATTTTCAAAGTTTGAGGTCTACATTGTGAAACAAAAGGTTCCAATTAGGGACCTAAATGAATAAATTTGAAGATATAGGATTAGATTGTTCACCATGTACAAGTCTTAGGACTAGACTTGCAATTTTATCTTTGAAAAAATAGCACAAGGACCCAAAAACCCGACATGGGTTGTGTGTCGACACTCTTGCTTAGTGTCGATATAATTATTATAGAACAAGTTGAACAGATTAATATATAATTAAAAACTCTAAGCACGAGTTATTAAAAATTAAACTCATCTTAATATATGCATAACGGAAAATAATAATGAAAAGAATTAAAAGAAGAGAAAAATTATGCCATTTACATGTACATTAAAACCTCTATTAATTAATAAAAAATCATAAAAAAATAAATAATTAAATAACAACATAGAATATAAAAATCTCATTCAAAATTATCATATTAACAATTACAAATCATAGTATTAAAAATTTTATTCAAAATTATTATATTAATAGTTACAAATGATAATATTATTACACCTCTAATTATAAGATAAAAAAAAAAAGAAAAAAGAAAAACTTACAATGACACTAGAATAAAAATAACACAATTAGGAGAATGGGTCATGGAAGGTAAGATCATGATAGGAAACAAGATTGGCGAGAAGGTCTTAATACCAAGAATTACAATGGCCTCACAACAATCAAAGTGGCCCATTCATACTAAAGAGAAGACAATTTCCTTTAAGGCCGTGCTACACAATGACAATTAATAAGAGTCAAGGGCAGTCCTAAAGCAGGTTGGCCTATATCTACCAAATCCTATTTTCAATCATGGCCAATTATATGTAGCTGCATCTAGAGTGACATCTCCAACTGGTCTAAATATTCTCATTGGTCATGATGAACAAGACCATGAAGGCTACACAAAAAACATTGTTTATTATTTTTTCATTTATCTTTAATTGTGTTTATGTTTTTATTTGGTAGACTCGATTTATGAAATATCAATGATATAACAAAGAAAAATGAACATTCATAAGAAGGTATTTGAATATCATGCTTTATTGCTATTATTCAATAGTGACTTGTAGTAAGGCATTAAGAGCTTTTTATTATTCAATAGTTACTTGTGGGAGATCATTAAAAACTTCATAATAAACAATGTTTTTTTGTGTAGCCTTCATGGTCTTGCGCATCATGACCAATGAGAATCTTTAGACCAGTTGGAGATGTCACTATAACTACAGCTACATATAATTGGCCATGGCTAAAAACAAGATTTGGTAGATATAGGCCAACATGCTTTAGGGATTGCCCTTGACTCTTATTAATTGTCATTGCGTAGCACGACCTTAAAGGAAATTGTCTTCTCTTCAGTATGAATGGCCACCTTGATTGCTATGAAGTCATTGTAATTCTTGGTATTAAAACCTTCTCACTAATCTTGTTTCCTGTCATAATCTTGCCTTCAATGATCCATTCTCCCAACTGTGTTATTTTTATTCTTGTGTCATTGTAAGTTTTTTTTTTTTTTTTT